TGCATTTGCATATGATCATATGTGCACAGGGCAGAGGCCAGCACTGAGTGTCTTCCACTATTATGCTCTGTCTCATTTCATTTTTTCTGAGACAGTTTCCCTGGAGCTCTTTGTTGGCTAGACTTGCTGGCTATCGAGCACTCTCTACATTGCCCCCAGGCTTACGGCTATGTAGCCACACCTGGCTTTGATGTGGTGCTGTAGATCTCAGCCCAGATTCCTGTGTGTGAGCAGGAACCACTTTACTAAAGGGGCTATCTTCCCAGTCTTCACTCATTTCTGTTTTGTAACATAGTTGCCAAACTTATGCTCTTTCTGATTCAATCTTCTGAGTGCTTCGATTGCAGGTGTGAGCTACCACACCTGGATTACAGGTGTGAGCCACCACACCTAGATTACAGGTGGGTAATTATTCAAAAAATAGATACTAAGTTATTAAATATATTTATAAATATGTAAATTTTATATTGTATATAAATATGTAATATAAATAAACTATAAAGTACTAAAAAATAAATAAATGAACTCAACACTGGTAGTGGGATTAGCAGCTCAAATAACAAGTGGCAGCCTTAAATATCTAGGGTTTGGATTTGTTATTCCAGGCAGCAGTGGGTTGTTTGGTTCAGGGTGGTGATTACCTTACTCAAGGCTCTCCATGTACTGGTCCATTGGCATATCCAGCAAATTATGTCAAATGACTGGAGAACACTGAATCCAAAGATGCTGTTTGTGTCCTCTGCCTCTACTGACCAAATTGACCAACTAAATTCTGCAGGGAGTTGTGGAACTTCTGCACTGGTGAAAACACTATGGTCCAAACCAAGGCTTGATGTTCCGTTTCGCTCTTTGTCTTAAACTGGTACCAAGTGTGCTGAGGAGAGGAAGGTGACTAAACAGAACAGCAGAGTGCAGAGTGACAGTCTTCCATAGATTAGTTGGTGGTTGTAGCCTTCCTTCTTCCTTCATTTGGCTCTAGGGGTATATATTGTGATTTGATTTAAATGCATTTGGAGAACGAGAGGTATTCCATAGCTCAGGACATCTGTGCCATCCACCATGACAGTGCCTTAGTGACATCTTTAGGATATGGCCTATGCAATGTGAGAGACATTAAGAAGGAGGAGGGCAGAAATATTGTCTACATTCCTGCCGAGGAGGATTGTAGCTAGCCTCCTATGGTGGTTCATCCTGTCAGTGTGACGGGACCTAGAATCAAACAAACCTAGGAAACACACCTCTGGGCATGTCTGTGATGGAGTTTCTAGATTGACTCAGCCGAAGTTGGAAGACACCCTAAATGTGAGCGGCTCTCCTCTGTTGGATGAGGTGAATGGGAGAAGGTTAGCTGTGCACCAGTATTAATTATTCTCTGATTTCTGACTGTAGGCGCAATGTCAACAGCTACTGCAGACTGTTGCCACCACAAACTCCTTGCGAAGTGGAACTATACCTTCAATGTGTGAGATCCCCAGCTGCTCTCTCCACCGGCTCCTTTCCTTCCTTCCTTCCTTTTTTCTTTCCTTTCTCCTTCCCTTCTTCCCTCCCTCCTTTGTCTTTCCTTCCTTCTTTCTTCCTTCCTCCTTTCTTCCTTCCTTGCTTTTGTTATGTATTCTCTTCACAATAAGAAAAGTAGCACCCCTTCCCTTTCCACCTTGGCTGCCCCCTTCCTGTTTAGGGCAGCACTTGTTCCATTGTGCATCCTAGGACCTCAGGCTCAGAATATCCCACCCTTATCCTCAAATGCTACTGTCTACTTCACACTAGTGAGACTTGTTGACAGGTTGCCCCTCAGACATCTGGGGTTGCGGTGCCAACAGGTATTTTCTTGGGCCTGTGGCTGCCACATGGGCAAGGCAGCCTCTTCTGATGAGAAGTCTCCATGAGAAGTGCTGTGACCCACAAGCCTCCACTCCTGCTGGGTCCACAGCTGTGCCTTGGAATCTGGACCGTTTCCAGATACGGTAAGGACATCTGGAGCTCACTGATGAGAGGATGCACAAGGCAGAGGCTCCAGCTGTTGGACCACTTGTTTGAGTAATTGACAGCTAACATGTAGTCCCTCCCACTCCCGAGAGGCAGGTCATTTTTAGCTCTCTAGCACACCATGGACTTCTCAACCATGATCAGTCAGCTGAGATTATTATTGTTATGATAAAAATATTCTTATCTGGGGTTCTGGAGTCAATAGTTCTTGACATACAGATATTTGTTTGCTAATTTGGTTTTCATCGGAAAACTTACTATTGGGTCATTTTGGTTTCTGGGCTGAGGCCTTTTGCCCACTTTAGGTCCTGGACAGCTCATCCATGCCGTTAAGCAACAAAAGAAACACATAAGAGTCCTATGGCGCCCTCTGGTGTCAACCAGGATATGGTACACTGCAGTTCGTAAGGAACCTGCGAGGGGAAGAGTGAAGCAGCAGACACACAATTATTAGTAATGACACGGTACATTTATTAATTATTAATATCTTTTAATTCTTAATGTTGACATCCTGTGAACATGCTTGCAGAAGATGGTGGTAAATTTTGTACTTTGTAAAAATAGAAAGAGACTGTATATGTGCTATTGTTAATCTCTTCCGTAGCAGACCCTAGATGCTTTGTTACTTCAGCGGTCAGTGCTGTAACTGCTCCTACAATCCGTGGCACTTCTTATGCAGCAATGCCAGAAATGTCTAATATTTATCGAACACTTGCTTTACTCTTAAGAATTATGTTAAGTACTCAATATAGGGCATCTCATTTTATATTCACCACAGAAAAGCAGTATGATTCCTACCTTATAGAAGGCATTGATGTTAATATTTTAGGGGTGTAAAAATTCCCTAAGAGCTGGAGGCATGGTCAAACACGGGGGGTTTACTTTCCTATGACCTGGTAGATGAAATTTATTGTTCCCAGGTTTGTTTCCTTTGAGGACTGTAAACCCTCATCTCTCTCAAACACAACTGTGGCCACAATGTTTCTTCCTTATTCTAAGATCATCGAGTGCACTCATGAATGAAAAGATATTTATTTTAATAATTTTACATGGATTATCAATCTTTTGTCTAAAGATGTTCTATTACGCTCTTAGTATAAGACTAATGGGCCATTTGCTCATGTAATCTCCTGTTTGATGTATCAGCTTGGGTAAGATGACTCCATGCTCTTCCAAAGGACTAGAGTTTTGTTCCCAGCACCCATGTCAGGTAGCTCAAAATCACCTGAAACTCCAGTTCCAATGGATCCAATGCACTCTTCTGGTTTCTGTAAGCACTCTCATGTGCATGAATATATATATATATATATATATATATATATATATATATATATATATATATATATGTCTTTCTTTAATTTCTAATATAGTGAAGATATATGAGTGCACCATGATAGAATGAAATTAGTATGATATAAATGTATAAATATGTATATACACATTAGATTTTTTTGTATGCGTATGGTAAAATGCCCCGACAGAGGGTTGTAAAAATGGAAGCATTATTCTGGTTCACAGTTCAAGGTTCAGTCCGTCATGGTGAAGCAGTTGAGGCACAGGAGCTTGAAGCAACTGGTCGCATTCCATTCATAAATAGAAAGCAGAGAAGGATGCATGGGTGCCAGTGAACAGCTCACTTTTGTTATTTTATACTCCAGGACTATCTGCCTGGAGAATGTTCCTGCCCACGATCAAGACAAGTCTTCTCAAATCAATCAACACAACCAAACTAATATCCCATAGCCGATGTACCAGGTATTTCTAGGTTCTTTCCAGTTAACATCAGCCATTGCTTAGACTGACTGACTGACAGAAAGACAGTCATACACACAAACACACACACATGTACACACTATACAGAGTTGAGTTTATACAGTCAACCTTCAGTATATATGTAGGTTTCACATTTGTAAATCTTAAAAACTACAAATCAAAAGTATTTGGAAAGAAGTTGAGGTATAATTTCTCTCTTGCCAACATGCCGCAAACAATACAGGAACCCTTTGAAAGGTATTTACATTGTGTTAGGCGTATGGGTCATCCAGAGGTGATTTTAAGATAGGAAAGTTTACATAGATATACAGATACACACACACACACACAATTTGCATAATGGTTTTGAGCATCTTCTGATCTGGTAAACACAGATCAGAATGTCTCTGGAATCAATACTCTACAAATAACAAGACCTCTCTGTCTGTCTCTGTCTCTCTCTCTCTCTCTGTATATGTGTTTATGTGTGTGTATATGTGTAATATCCTATCTAAATAAAGTTTTTTAAGGTATAACAGTGTCCTGAGACCAAAATAAGACTGAACACATGTCCATGCTGGTGTCCCTCCATGACACCCTTCTTGTACTCCATTTCTTGGTCCACAGACTCTCCATAGTCATAGAAACTGTTCTCACCCATTGAACAGGTCCTTTTCAGATCCATCCCTTACTAACGGAAGTACAGTGAAGGGTGATAATTGTAAAGATGAAAGACGTAATTAATGAAGTAGAAAACAGACGTGAGTCATAGAATCAATGCCAGAAGCTGGGTCTTTGAAAAGGATGAACAGGACAGCATAATTCAAAGGAGATTCATCACAGGGGAACAGAGGCGACCCATACTAAGATGAAAGGGAGACAAACACAGACACTTCAGAAACTCAATAGTTAAGAATGTTCTGAAACTATTATAAAGACTGTTAACTTGAATGTTTCAATGCAAGGGGATCAGTCTCTATTTATTTACCTTTTGTTTTATTTTTTATTTATTTTTTTTTTGGGAGGAGAGATTTTAATATCATAAATCAGAGTGGGCCCGCCTCTCACTGCCAGGCCCCTTTTGGGGCTTCCTATCTTCGTATAGCCTGGAAGGCTGCCTGCAGCCAGGGCTCCCCCATCCCTAGGAAGGATCCAGCACCAGCCTGAGAGGGAGGCAACAGCAGCTAAAGGAGTGGGAGGAGGAGAAAGAAGCTTGTGCAGGCGCATGTAGGTGGGTGTGTACTTATGTGTGAGAACATATGTAAAGTGTCAGGTTTATAGGCCCTGGCTTAGGGACAGTATAGGAAGGGAAAGGAGGTAGGGCAAGAAACACATCTTTTCTCTGTGGCACTGTGGGCTTACCCTATCCCAGGGACAGAAATAATGGGTTCCGTGGGAAACATCCCTAAGTCTGAGCTTTAAGGACTTGAGCCCTTTGAGTCTGGTGGAGTGACAGATCCAGCCTGTGGGGACACTAGGTCTGTCTCCTGTTGAAAGCCCTGGAAGGGTGGGAGGTAAGAAGTAAAGGAGACGGTCTCTGCTAGAAGAACTTGACTCCTCGGCCATCGCTGACAGTGATAATCTCAGCCTTGTGCTCATGCTGCAGGGCCTGCAGAGCGCGCAGCAGGGTCGCCTCATCCAGCCCATGGAACTCTTCATCCTCTGTGTCTTCCCCACTGGTCAGTTCATACAGGGTAAACACAGAGTTATTCTGGCCACTTCTGGAAACCCATTGATAAATGAGTTTCCCCCATTCTTCTGGCCTCCGCCACATGATCAGGAAGCTAGACTTATTCTTATCCAACCACTCGAGGTTCCCTTTCTTTCTCAATTCTTCTAATACAATCTGAATTGACTCCACAGGAAGTTTCCGCTGTAGCTTGACGTTGTTGAAGAGCGGGCTCTCCTGGGCTTCCATCACCGTCATGCTGGACTGTTTGTGCAGGCGGCAGAAGGACAGAACCAGAGAGCACCAGGCGGCCAGCTGCTTCTGCCGGGTGTCCACGTTCGGCTGTAACGTAAAGAAGGGCGGGAAGCGGTACTGCCACGGCCACTCGAAACTCATCGCCATCGTAGTAGCCCAGAAAACCCGGAACCCTTGTTTTATTTTCATAGATGTATACAGTGTATCTTAATTGCATAGGCCCTTCCGCTCTTTCCCCACAGCTCTCCGTGGCTCAGTGTTTCACCTCCAACTTCAAGTCCTCCTATTTTGTTTTGTTTTCTTACAAATCTCTGGGTCCATTATGCTCATAAGTGTACAGCTGTGGGTGTGTGGTGCCCACTGGAATGTGAGCAACCTGACAGTGTCCACCCTTCAAAGAACAGTGACTTTCTCTCCCGTAGCAGTCATCAGCTGCCAATACCTCTTTAGTTAAGAGTGAGGCCCCGTTGATTCTTACTGGCCAATGCAGATCCAACTGCGAGACCTCGGATCTGAGGACCTTAGAGAATGGGGTGGACATAGTCTAATGTTGTAGACAACTTTAATTTCAGTGTACTTTTATACATGAATGCAGCAAAGAAAGAAATGGCCCAAAGAAGAGTTCAGGAAAACATGTTTAAAAAAATACCAGTAAGTACATACTAAATATTAACAAGAACAGCCCTTTCTCAGGACAGACCAATTTTAAACACAATTGACTGCCACATGCTATACATTATTTCTGGGACAGCACAAAAGCAAGGTAGAAGGCCAAATCTAGATTTGGGATTCAATGACCAGATTGAGTTCTACAGCTGTGTTCTGATATCCTACCGGAATAAACATATCTTATAAATTGAATCTAAATGTTTTGTGCCACAGGGGGGTGGGGGTTGAGGAGGGGGACACAAAATCATGTCCAAGGGGAAGAAAATGCACCTGAATGCACCTCAGATAAGGCCCTTCACCTTTTTTTCCTGGAGCCTCTCTCACAGTTCCCTGAAGCATTGTTCACCATGGGTCACTCTTTTGATAGTGTTTCCGAAGGGCCTGAGATCCCCTCTTGCCTCCATGCTAGAAGATTTGACTGGTTCGGTTCTATGCAGGTCACCATGGATGCTCTATGTTCATGTGGGTGTCACATCCAAGTTGTGGCCAGAGGGTTACTGAATGAAGATAGCTTAGTTTTTCTTGGCTTTCTTTTCTATTTTTTTTGTCTTGATTTGTTTTTGTTTTTTAGGGGTTTGTTTGTTTGTTTGTTTTTCGAGACAGGGTTTCTCTGTATAGCCCTGGCTGTCTTGGAACTCACTCTGTAGACCAGGCTGGCCTCGAACTCAAAAATCCGCCTGCCTCTGCCTCCCAAATGCTGAGATTAAAGGCGTGTGGCACCACTGCCTGGCTTTCCTTGGCTTTCTTGGTTCTTGGGGTCCCTCAGCTTTGGTTCCTTTTCTGGCAGTCAAAATAAACTGTTTTATTTACATGGGAAAAAATAACTTCACTTTACCCCAGTTTTAGTTTGTGTTTGAGTATCTGTGAGACTGCCGGCACAGCACAGCCTGGGCAGGATGGAACTGTTGCTCCACCTCCGAGCTGTAGTCAGAGGCACACAGCCTTGTGCACAGCAGCACCCTGATTTTAAATAGACAACCTCACAGCCTTATAGCTCTGAGCCATAGGTCAGCTCTCGGCACTCCCAGAGCGCTTTTCACAGACTATCCAGGCATGTTTTTGCCGTTGGCATCTCTGGCATTTGCATCTCTGGCATCCCTCCTTCCTTATCTGCTGTATTCTGTTTTCTGTCTGATGAAATGCATGCGAGGACTTCCCATTGTGCCTTCCACATAACTCTCTTTAGACCCTCATCTCAGGGGTTCCTCCTGGGTAATATGGATTTATCTTGATGGTTATTAATTTTTCTCATTTTTACAAGATTCAGGGCTTATTTTTTAAATCAATCTTTTCCTTCCTGTGTTATATGTACTCCACTACTGAGAACTGTGTGTGTGTGTGTGTGTGTGTGTGTGTGTGTCTTTGCTTCATTTTGTGAATAGGGTTTCATGAAGTACCTAAGAGAGGTCTCGAACTCATGACCCTGCTAGCCCATGTTTCCTATGTGCTGGGATTGCAGACATGTGCCAGCCACCAGGCTTGCTTTTGCTTTTACTGGCCCTGTAGTTTGAGATTTTTTTAATGCTCTATTAAATTCTAATCTTTTCCCAATATTCCAGTATCTAAAGTCCTTGTGTAGAAGTCAGTGGTGCACACTGATGAATTATTCTGTGTGTCTCACCATGGCAGTTTTTTTCACTAGGTGCATGATGTTCTCATTTAACATCACCTGGTGAGAAGCAGGGTTTTGCCAAGGCACAAGCCTCCCCACCCCCATGCCACTTCTCTGTAACATTTGTGGGTGGCATTGCTGTGGCTTTTCTCATTTTGTTTGTTGAACTCCCAGCCCCCAACTGTGTGCTTCTGAGCGAAGCCATCTTTAAAAGGGCATACATGTCATAACCTACTTGGAAGCTAGCAATCAATTAGATGCCTACCTCTTCACAGGACCTAGTCTGTCACACTGTTGTACGTCAGTAGACTTCAATTCCACCTCAGTGCTGCTTCGGCACTGTGAACTACATGGCATTTCATCCTGGAGTGTAGGTGACTCCGTGAACAGTTATTCAAAGAACCTGACAGTCATGATTGATTGTTGCCGGGCTACATCCACTTCTGAGTCAGCGGTTTTAAAACTGGAATTGGGCCTCCATAACACAAACTCGTCCTGACACAGCTGCCATTTCAGATTCAGATATCAGAACTGGGTTTGGAGTACCCAGCATGCACTTAAGACTGTGCCATGAGTCTTTACTGATGCCACCTACAGTGCTGCTTCCTGAGGCAAGGTTGCTGCCAGCTGACATCACAGTAGCAAGCACAGAGGGAAAATGACCTTTGCAGCAGCAGCCTAGATTCCTTCCCCTCTCTTTCCCTTCTCTCTCTTGCTAGAGGACAGAATTATATAGAGATCTTAATTTTAAACTCTAAATGGGAATGAACCTCTCAACGTTGAAGGATTTTGCTCCCAGAATCTTAGACCTCTTGGTCAGAAAATTTCAAGACACAAAGAAAAAGAAACGAGAATGTGCCTTTTCAGTAGGAATGGGGCAGTTTTGTCCTGTCTTTTGATGTCCTTATCATAGGATGTGCCTTTCTCTTTTCAGTGCTTTCTGGATGAATTATTAAACACATTTCTATTGTTCCTCTGCTAGCCTTGTATAGAAGGCGGCGGGGAGGGGGGTAAGCAAAAAAGTAGGAATATCAAAAATAATGTATTTGAGGTTCTGGTCACTGCCAGGAGTACACTAACACCTTAGGTTTTATATAATATAATATATATATTCACCCTTCTTACTTACGTTGAGCATACAAGGCAATTATCCTCAGCGTTACCTTCAGGAGAACCTGGGAGAGTGTCTGCTAATGGTTTACCTCTGCATTTTCCTCCTGACATCCTGCTAAGCAGAGCACCTGTGTTCCCGAAATCTCAGCAGAAGGTGACTCTGTCAGGTCCTACAGACTAACTACCACCTTCACAAGCTGTCCGTCTTACACAAAGCCCTCCAATAGTGACAGCATGCAGGAAATGACAAAAACATTTCAGGAACCATAATCTGTGACTGACACACAGCCTATTAACACACTGTTGCTTTCTCATGAGAAGCCGGCCGCCTGCTGCTATTCCAATTTGGACAATTATTATAACAGCATTGCTAAATAATTGCTTTAATGGAAATGTGAGACAATATATTTGTGCTATTAGAAACAGTCTTCAAAATGTGTAAAATTCATTTGTCCAATAGCCAATAACTCAAGATGAGAGAAAGAGTACAAGCCTTCTATAACCTTTCCCCAAATCCATTCCTTTGCCTTACATGTGTAATTGGAAATATAGATTTTTTAAAATCTAATTTACATCTCCTTGGAATTTTCATTATAGAATTTAAGTTCTTGAAAAAAAAATCTTCCAGGCGCTTGGTTTTTCCTTTAGTGCCCTCTGCTGGTTTGACTTACTGGCTTTGATACACTGAAGATTTTTCGATACATTTGGATTTTGAACTGTGAATATCCTTTACTTGGCCATCTTGTTAAAAGATTTTGTTTCGTAGGAACCTGGTATCTATCAACTGAAATTGTGGGTTCTTTTTGTTTAACCCCATGACTTTAAGCCATGGCTGTACACATTTGTATTATGGTGATCCACACTCGGTATTGTTACACTGTGTCAAAGCTGACAAGCTGACTTGCTTCTCTTGATAGTTCTGAAATTCTGGAGAGCTAATGTTCGTGTCTAGAAATTCAATTTCTAAGTAGGAAGACAGTTTGAGTGTTTTAACACATTATATGTGGAATTCTTCCTCAAATATCAACCTTCATGCTTACTTGATACAATGTTACACAGATGGACTGGAGAAGGCAAGCCACAACTACCTCTTGCTTTGACTTACCTATCTGCCAGACATTTGTTCTGCTTTTCTATGTGTCTGATAAACCTCTTCTGAAAACCCAGATGTTCATTCATTTTATTTACTGTATTACTTCAAATAGAGGCCTCCCGGTAATTTGACTTCCAGATGGCTTTCCAATGGAGGGGCGTTGCTTCATCTCTGTTTGCACCCAGCTTGGAGAGATACCCTGTGGTTTGCTTGTGTTCTTCTGGCATGCTCACCCTGGACTGGAACATTGGAGCGCATCCTCCCCTTTCTCTGCTCACTGATGAGGTATAATTTATGTTGATTCAACTCTTCACAAATTGCCATCTGCCATCTTTGCTTTTCCTGATCCCTCATCCTATTCCTGTATTTCATTTGGTTGTCCTGGCAGAAGCTCAGGTATTGGCATGGAGCGAAGACACTTGTCAACTCGTCAACAGCAGAAGTCTCACACAAAATTTCATACCCTGTGCAGGCAATTGATTTCTTTTCAATATCAACCATGATGATGATTCCATTTGGCTTTTCATCATCTGTTACTATATAGGAAATCATATTGGTGTACCTGCTGACATCTCTGACCTAGAGCTCAGATGAACAATCATATTGGCATCAATATTTTCCAAATAACCTCTTAGCTGGTATTCACTGCTCTTGTTTAAGTTCCCAGGAGCTAGATATTT